GAATAGAATATTTAAGTAACTGAAACAATTTAATATTCTAAACAGTGTTATTTCCTCAAAACATTATGCTGAAAAGAGGAACATGCGGTAGACACACCTTGAACATTTCATGACTGGCTGATACAGCATAGCTTGTAAAAATCTGATGATCCTTCAAAGAATAGTCATTGATCCTAGAGTGCTTTATCTCTGAGCCACATCCCCTGCCCTTTTAGATGTTTTTTTTTTGTTGTTGTTGTTGTTTTTCTGAGACATGGTCTCACTAAGTTGCTGAGACTTTCCTCAAACTTGTGATTCTCCTGCCTCAGCCTCCTGAGTTGCTGAGATTACAGGCATGTGCCACAGCACCTAGGGAGCTTTCTATTATTTTTTCTTTTTTTTTAGATTGTTATCGGAGGCAGGATAATTACCCATTTGCAGCATAGAAATATAACTAATCAACCCAATGAAAGGACTGTCAGCAAGTTGCTAGCTCTGTGCCCACACTTCTTGTATCATCTGGCATCACCTTCATTTGGGATTAATTGGCACTGTATGAGACCAAGAAAAAAACAGCTGTACATCCAGACCCAGAAGAAAAGACCCAAATATTACATTGCAGGATATTCTAAGTAGCATTTGTTTTATTGCAGTAGATAGTTTGATACACAACCTCACCTTCTGGGAGGGCTACCAGGACAAAGTCCTCAGGTAACAGCACTCTCTGGGGCATCAGGCCAAATAAATTGACTTTGCTCAAGTTTGAAACTTCTTCCCAGGGCAGTGAGGACACAATGACTGAACAATGTATGAATAAAAAGGTTGAGAACCCTGATACCAACTGGGGACGACTCTGAAGGGTCATCCCCTGAACCCTTCATAGGAATGAACCAAATCCCCGCTTAACTTCTCCAACTGCCCAACCTTCTGTAGATTCCCTTCTATACATATTGATCCTAAGAGCACTGCCAAACAAATCCCCTCCCTGTTAGAGTCGACTTTCTGGAAAACCCATGGCAATTAATCACCAAAGTTCTCCTTGAACAATTGCCTTTATGAAGAACTAAGAACCAAAATAATAGCACTAAAATCCAGGACACTAGAACTAGGTTGTGATGCAGGGTGCAGGACTGACCAAACATTAACCTTAAATTCTCATTGTCTGAACAATGTGTTCTCTGAGATGACCCCGCCCTCTTCTCCCTATGGGAGGTATTGGATCACCTCTGCAAGTGTGTGTGTGCTTTGTAACCCAGAGCTCCAAACTCTCCAAGGATTGAGCAGCAGGTAAATCTAGACAAATCCTACAAAGAGGTCAAATTCCAAACCAGATGGCCAAGCACCAATGTGTTCTGATTATCCCCCCTGACAAGGGAGGGTCCTACAAAAGGCAAGATGGTAAAGAGAGCAAGTTCTCGACAGTGAAACATGGGCTCTGCCTCCTCTGCAGGCTGCCACATGTCCAGTAGACACCTTGTCCTCCCCAGATGGGAGGAAAGAGGAGCATGGCTTTTCTTCTCTCTTTGCTGCTGACTTGGGTAGCTCTCCCTTTCTCCTCTAAAATTTCTCTTGAGCCTTTGTTGCTAGCAATTGGAAACCTGTACAAGGCTCTCCTCCATGCAACATTGGTGAAAAGACAGAAACTCTGCTTAGTACCAGAGATGGATTTTTCAAGGTATCAGAAGGATTTATGCCCACTGGGAGATGGAAACAACCCCTGTGCTGAAGAGAGATCTCCTGGAGAGCCAGCAGAGGGTGGGCCATGGCATCTGAATGTTGCCACAGTCAGAGGGGGAGGCCTGGAGTTAGAAGTTGCTAGCAGCTGGCCAGAGCTGACTATCCACTATAGGACAAGAACAGAATCATCTGCAGTAGCCCTGACGACTTCTCTAGTGTGGCCAAGACAACATGCTAAAGGGGCAGGTTGGAGGCATTCACATCCCAGCTGAAGAAGCTGCATCTGACCAGCCTCCTTGGGACCACTGACCTCCCACTGGCATGAAGATCTGTACCCTTCTAAGAATTCCAGGATGTGGCCAGGCAGAGCTCCCAGAAAAAACTGTACCCCAATTCAGACTCCGGACTCCAGAACCGTCTGAGGTATAATCAAAGGGGTTTCTCTTGCCTTATAAAAGGGGTGAATAATAAAGAGATCCAACTGCTACTCTGGATGATGAGGGGAAAATATGTTTTTCTCCTCTCTGATTCTGGTCTCATTCATTTCCCCTTCACCTTTTAGCAGCTATTCCTTAATTGGAAACACAAGGGATTGTGGAATTCATTGTGGACCTTAATATGCAATAAGGGAAGGTCCAAATGGGCCTTACCGTGCCTCACCAAAGGACATCTGCTATTTCTAATAAGAATAGGTTACTTTCCTGTGTAGCTTTACCTTTCAAATCACATTCATGCACATTAATTCAGTAGACCCATATCCACCTTAGTGAGATTGGCAATGAACATATTATGTGATATCACATTTTCAGAAAGAAAAATTGGAACATGGGGTCAAATAAAGACATTTTTTTCTTTCCTGATTTATGGGGGGGGAAGTCTTATAAAGGCAGAGAAGTTGAATCACAGCTACTTATTCATGTATTGGATTATCTTTTAAAAAGTGGGATTACACAAAGCTTGCACAGAAATTCCTAGAAATATGGCCAGCATAATTATGGGGCAGGAAGTAAGCCTTGAATCCTACTTTAAAACTCCCTTTGATAAAAGCTTAAAGAGAGAGATTAGGTGCTCAAAGACTGAGATGAGAAGAGGGTTAGAAAAAGGGAGTTGGAGCTGAGAGAAAGTGAATGAGAGTCAAGAACACATAGATCCGTGCTCAGGATTCCCCACGTAATCTGTAGATGCAAACGTGACTATAAAAATTGTACCCACTATGCACTGCATGATGTGGCCACCTAGGACAATTTGTCGTTCCTGAAACGATGTATCCTTACTTCTCTTCTGAAATGTCAGCAGTGTACATACACTCTCTCTCCTGAGAAATGGGAAACCTTTTCAATAAATAACATCCTTTCAGTAGACATGGTTTTTTCCCAGTTTTTTTTTTTTTTCACATAAAAACAATTCAAAGGGGAAAGAAAGATCTTTTTTTTTTTTTCCTCATGGATGCTAGAACGAACAACTGACTGTCTACATATTTTAAAAAAAAAAATACTTTTGCCAGGTACTCTGGTACACGCCTGTACTCTTCACCACTCCGGAAGCTGAGGCAGGAGGATTGCGAGTTCAAAGCCAGCCTCAGCAAAATAGCAAGGCTCTAAGCAATTCAGTGAGACCCTGTCTCTAAATTAAGTATAAAATAGAGCCGGGAATATGGCTCAGTGGTCGAGTGCCTCTGAGTTCAATCCCTGGTAACCCACTCCCACAAAAGTATTGACAGTGACCTGACACACCTTACACAGAAAAAAAAAAAAGATGAGATGAATCATAATCCAAAGCATAAATGTTAAATCTATAAAGATTCTAGAACAAAATATAGGAGGAGATCTTCATCATTTTGGCAAAAGTTTTCTTACACAGAACACTGAGAACATTCATCAAGAAAAAATAAATAGTTAATTGGATCTTATTGAAATGAAGAACTTTCACTCATTAAAATATTCCATTAAGGTAATGAATATCTAAGCCATTTAAGGACAAAATATTCACATTACATATTCTGACAAAGGACTTGCCTCCATAATATACAAATAAACCTCACCATTCAATAATAATGATGATGATACCAATGGCCTCAATTAAAAATAGACAAAGGACTTTCTCTTTTCTTTTTACACCTGACAGAAGAGTGTATTTTGACATATTATACATACATACAGCATAACTTATTCAAATTAGGATCTCATTCTTGTGGTTGTACATGATGTGGAGTTACACTGGTAGTATATTCATATATGAATATAAGAAAGTTATGTCCGATTCATTCTACTGTTTTTCCTAATCCCCCCCCCCGCCAGCATTCTATTCATTCCCCTTTGTCTAAACCAATGAACTTCTCAATAGACATATGTTTATCAGAGGTCCAAAGGTGCTAGGCATTCAGCAAAGGCTATCTGTGAATAGGCCATAGTTTAAGAAATAGAACTACCGATTACTTGTGGCACTAGAATTCCAGGGGTGATTGAACTAATGTACTTTGAAGAGCATGAGAAATATCTGATCTGAGAATTGTCCAATGCCCATATTTTCCTACATACCAGATGTGTATCACTACCATTTATTGGGGATAGGTGCTATTCCATTGTGTCAATTTTCCTGCCTAATTAAGAAGGCACACAAGTTTGATCTATGCTGATTCTGAACGTTGCCAAACTATGCCATTAATTTTATACTGTGATAATGTGTCACCAGGAGGCTAAGTAGCTTTGCCTCTCTGGATTAGTTACTTTTCATAAAAATCACTGAACCTTAAAAAGTAGAAGGGTCTCAAGAGACTAGCCACCCTGCTCTCATAAAGCACAAAAAGCACTTTCCCAAAGTCTGAACAACTGGTCATGCAAACAGGGGGTTAGAGTTTCATCTGCTTCCTTTGATTGCACCGAAGTGATCCACCTTAGCACAAATACTGCAGCACATGACACTCTGGGAAGTGATAATCCACGGGGCGCATTTCTGGGGCACTAAAGTGCTTCTCGAAACCCTGGTAAGCTCCCATGCCACCTCTATGTGGGACATGCTCATAAAGCAGATGTTTCCTAGTTTTAATTTTTGTTAACTCTCTGATGGATTAAGCTAAATATCTCAGAGCTTTATTCATTATTGCTGCAGTATGTAATTTGTGCCTGTGGTAATAGTAATTTAGAGTTATTAATGAAAATGAAGGCTAATTAAAAAAAAAAAAAGCAAACATCTAAACTCAAGCTAAGGTAAAAATACAGAGCACTCCCAGATGAATTTTATCCAAGTTTCCTTTTTTCATTCTAAAGGACAAATATTACTTTGGTTGCAAAAGGAAGGAAAAAGGGCATTGTCACACACAGTGCATTGTACATCGGTCGACATACCTGCAGCCCTTCAATGGCCAGTTTGAGGATTGAAGGTGTCAGTTTGGAGGCTTGTTTGAAGGAAAAATTACTCCAGTCTATGATTAAAATGAAACCATTTATCTGAAGTTCCGGATCTTCAATAAGGACTTCCAATGATAGCAGGATGGCACGGAGGATGTCTGTAAAGGAGTTCCTGTAACCAGGGCAGAAAGGAGAGCCGTGTGTGAGGATAAACAGGCAATAGACAGTACGTCACATGCAAACCACATTGGCATCCTCATACCACTGCTGCATGAGCCCAGCCTGCAAGTCACACTGTTTCCTGTCCCAGAACAGCAAAAATACATCTGCTGAACTTTCCAGAAGTGATGCTTTGAGGATCTGGGGAAGGATGTTTACCCTTGATATGACCCCATGAGCACCCCAAACTTAATGAGGTGACACCCTTGTGCATTCCCATGGCTCTCTGTACTGTGCTCCCATTACAGCACTGATTTCACTTTGGTGAAATGCACCCCTTACTTGTTGCTCTCCCTTTCAGAGCCCCTGTATTTTTAAGGGCAGGGAGGGGCCCTAATCCAAGCTGTGTCTACAGTACCTAGGCACTCAGTGAATCGTTGCTGCACAGATAAGATGAGGCCTCAATCTTATTTTGCTTATTTTGCTTAAACATCTTTTATTCCTCTGCTATGTTAAAAATCTTGCTAAGAGTGTAAAAACATCCGTGCAATTGATGCTATTTTTTTAGCTTCAATTCATGGAAAGAAAAAAATAAAATAAAGCAGGAAGAATAGCTTATTTTCATTGAAGGTCTACAGAGTGTGATTCGGGAGGGAAATTGCTTTGAGTACATCAGTAACTATGACAACAGGCAGACCTGAATACAAACTAGAGTGACAGTTCTCCAGGGCCCTGTGTATTTCTGCATCTCACATATCCCCAATCACCAGGTGATTTTTGTTTAAAATAATTTTCAGATGTGAAGAAATGATGGCATATTTACTCTGTTTCATCCTGTGAATTATCTGATCTACGAATCTAAGATCTCAGAAAATCTCTAAATTCAGTCTGTCTTTGATGAGTAGGAAAACATAAGGTGGGATGGTGAGTGATGCCAAAATCTTCAGCTCCCTTCTGGCTTTCACTAAAATCAGAAGCCTATGTTCACAGAATCATCAGATTCCCAATAATTCCAATCTGGTTTTGAATTCCAGCTAAGCCTAATGTCTCCCAATTAGAAATCAGGAATTCTGTGCTTAGACAATAAGTGACTAAGAATTTTTCTGAATTGCTGTTATGAACCCAGTGTTGTGTTACATGCTTGAAGTAGTGTGTCCTGTTTGTACTTTCAAAGAGCCTTAATTTAGTTGTGGGTGGTGGAGATTAGCAACAGGAATTGAGAGGGATCGAGAACATTGGAATAGCTAAGGAAAAGGTTAGAGACAAGTCTTGAAGAGCAGATAGGATTTTGGTGGATTAGTGGGAGAATGAGGAATAGGACTTTATAGAGAAGAGTGACACAAATAGAAAATAAAGATATTTACAACCCATTCTCTTCCTGTTCTTCTTACTTAATCCTCCCCTCTTATATTGAGCTGAAATTTTCCTCCCACAAATCCACCACCCCCTGGAGTTAGTTCTGCTCTGTGGAATAAACTTCAGATCTTCCCACACCACACACTTGACTGTTCATAGGGAGGTCATGACAACCCATATGAGCTCCGGATTTTTTTAAAAAAATTAACTTTCTCAAATGGCTCTTAATAGCTCTTCTTATCATTGTTTTCTTTCAGATGTGTTCCCTTTTCATTTTTAGAGATGTCCTATTCTTATTAACATAGGGAAAATTTTTACTGGGGCCTTGTTTGCTTTTGCTTTTGCATTTATTTCTACATCATTAACTAATGACCCAATCTTCTTCAGAGGATGCACTTAAAAAAACAAAATTCTTTTTTTGAGTACTGGGGATTGAACCCAGGGCCACTTAACCACCAGGATTTCCCTAAAATGAATAGCAATAGCTCCACCCCTTTATTGTTGTTGTTATTATTTGTTTGTTTGTTTGTTTATTTATTCATTTTGAGACAGTCTCACTAAGTTGCTTAGGGCTTTGCTAGATTGATGACCTTGAACTTGTGATCCTCTTACCTCAGCATCCCTCCTTACTGGGATTAAAGGCATTCACCACCATTGCCCCACAGAGATACAATTCTATATTGGAAAGAAACATTGATTTATGTGGCGAATGGAACCAAAGACTATGAGTTTAGGTGAATTTAGATGGTAATATGGAAATGCTCAATTGTAAACTGGAATGACCACTGGGGCATCAAGAAATCTGAGCCTGGATAAGCTTTCTTAGGAAGAACACATATATAAAGGAAGACTGAGCCTTAGGTAAACTTTACATACAGTACTGAGGTTGAAGGAAGAAGAATTAAAGAAATAATAAAATACGAGAGGATCAAAACAGTACTGAATTAAAAAAGAAAGTAAGAAGAGAATGCTTCAAGAAACAAGAATATGAAGTCAGATGCAGTGGCATGTTCCTGGAATCCCAATTACATGGGATGCTGAGGAAGGAGGATCATGGATTCAAGATCAAGATCAGTCTAGGCAGCACAGCAAAACCCTGAATCAAAAAAAAAAAAAAAACAGCAAAAATATGCATCACTGGCCTCAATTCATGACTTACCCTGAATCCATGCATTAGCTATGATCTCACTGAGGACACAGCCCCTTGTCCATGTGACTTGTTTTGGCTAATGACATGTAGACAGACATGAAAGGATGCCAGTACTGAGCCTCACTTGTAAGGGACCTCAGACGTCACCTCTTGTTCTCTTGCCTTTTTGCCAACACTCAAGGCAATAGCATGCCACAGCTATCATTCTAGATTTAAGAGAAGGATGCAAGACAGAGTAGTGACCACTAGCCAATTAGTCAATCTTCACAAAATGCAGAACCATCTATCTGAACCCAGCCTAGCTAAACTCCAGCTGCCTCACAGATAACAAAAGCAATAATAAGTGATGGCTTTTTAAACCACTGAGTTGTAGGATGGTTTGCTACACAGCAATAGCTGTCCAATACTGGAAGGTAGTTAACAAATGCAAATATCACAAAAAAAATCAAGGAAAATGAGGAAGAAAAAAAGACTTGTTTGACAACAAGGATATTTTTGAGGAGTTTTAAGAGAATGCTTTCTTGAATAGTAAAAATAGAAATCACTAGTTATGAAGATCTTTAGCAAATCACTCTGTAACTCATTTTATTCCTCTAAATAAGAGAGAATTTTTCTTTCCACCGTGTGTCCACTGATATCTATTTCCAAATTTCTAGTCCAGAGTTACAAATGCCCCAACATACTGTTTTTACCAATCCCAAAGAAAAATCTTGGAGGACTCAACAGAGAGGTTCTACATATTTTATTACTTACTCCTTGATGGTGGTAGTGGGCCAGGATATAATGGAGAGCCACAGTGTGTCTTCAAGGTAGGAGGTGGGGGATTATATACAGGACAGGTTGAATGACAAGCTGCACAGGTGGATTTCTTTAAATGTTACTGAATACATTCTTTTACTTTGCAACCAAACTCATCCTGCTTTGATTCTCACCTAAAAATTGGAGATAAGGAAACTGGAAGTTTCCCTATCTCCATTTTCTTCATTATCACATTCCTTAGAGTCTTTATCTTGTTGCAAACTTTCCTAGGCACTGACTAGTGTTTAATCCAATACTAAGAAAAGAAACTGAATTCTGTCTGCAGTCCTGGAAATGATTCTATGCATTTTGGAGACCAAGATACAGAATAGGGATTGGCAGTGAAGGAAGTATTGTATTCATGAGATGAGTATATAATAAAAGATTGTAGACTCATTATAATTGCCAAATGTTCAAATAATTCACTTTTGCAGTGGAACTGGATGGCAGGAAAGAGTTGGACTATATCTCTAGTCACGAGACTACCCTGCTGAGGAGGTCGACTTTATGTTTTTCCTCAACTACAATTATTATCTTGGTTTCCTTAGTTCTTGACTTCCACATATAAAAATTTTCTTTTTTCCTCTTTTCTATTTATAGCATCTTGACTTGTGCAATCCTCTTAGCTTTTTAAAATTTAAAATACCTATTGGGTTAAATATTCATGTGGATAAACCACCCTCGAGGACATGGAACATAGCTCCCAGATCCTTAAGAATGAACACAGTGACTTCCTTCCAAAGAGTACAGTAAAAATTGGGGGAGGGTTGGGGGAAGGAGTAATAGTACAGTGGAGAGATCTGATGAACACTATCAGAGCTGGGTGATCAAGGTCATGTCACCAATGACAAATCACATTTATTTTCCTGGCTACAGTGATGAAAATGGCAATTACCTGGGAACTTCCTGCCTCCAAACCATAATTCCAGATTAATCACGAGGAAAGTATTGGAGGAATTCCGATTGAGAAATGTTCTACAAAGTACCTGACCAACACTCCTCAAAATTGCCAATTTTATCAAAAAATAAGGAAATTCTAGAAATTGTTATAGCCAAGAGGAATACAGGGCAATGTGATGAGGAAGGTAATGTGCTCTCGTAGATGAAGTCCTGAGCAGGGGAAAGGCATTAGGTAAAAACTAGAGAAATATTGGAGAATGGACTTCAGTGAACAGCAATGTATGAACATTGATTCATTAATCATAACAAATATTCTATATTAATGTAAGATGAATAATAAGAGAAAGTTAGATGCAGACTATAAAGTAACTATGCTATCTTCACAATACCTCTGCAAATCTAAAATTGTGAACAAAAAGTTAATTTTTGAAAATTAAAAAAACAGGCCTATTAGAGTTTGTGACCTGTCATCTCCATGTTATAACCAGGTTTCCAGCAAAACCAAAATGGTAATAAGTAGTTCAGCCACTTCATGCAAATTGTGGAAATGAGAAAAGAAGACATTTTCAGAATTTCTTCATTCCATTAATTCATTTAGACTTACATGTTGTTTAACTCTAATAATCCAGGAAAATCTTTTAAATTTTCTTTATTGCCTGCAAACACAATTCTATCAGAGTATTTTAACCTTTATTTTAAAATGAGCTAATAAATGACAAATGGATACTAACATCTATTCCATAATCAGTTATGGAGGATATGAGCTTTATTTTATTTTTATTTGTGTATTTACTTATTTATTGTGCTGG